AAAATGAGACTTGATTTACTGTAGAAAAATTTAATTCCTCCCAAACGAGGCCTTAAATCATTTTGAAATTACAGTAAGAGTTACTTTTAAAATGAGTAATTTCTTTTACTTGAACGTAAGAAAAAAAGATGACATACATCCCTTGGAATTTGATTTAATCTTGATTATAATACTGCACTAAAGAATCTACTTTCATATACAGAAGAAATCATTCGAACAACAAGTATTAGCAATCAATAAATACTGGCCAGGTAACTCCAGTATAATCCGAAAATTATAGTATCGGGTTATACTTCAAGGTATCGATGTAAGGATTACGTACATTGCAAATATAAGAAAGTTATACGCATGAAGAAAATCACAGCAGAGAATAGCGTCTCATCAAGCCAATGTCAAACCGCAGATTTATACAGCCTGGATTATCTATTTTCCAAGCAAACGACGCCCACGCCGAGTGACATCTTTCACTCGGATTGCCACCTGATCCACATCATCCTGTAAAGGATCCAACGCTTTGTTCTGCCTGCAATGTTAGAAGACATATCTCGTAAATTCTCAAGTGACGGGGCGAGTCTGGAGTTCACGAGGTTTAGTATAAGTGTAAAACTCACCTCTCAATTTCAGATCCCATGTCGATAGCCATATCCTTAAGCTCTCCTAAAACATCACTTAAACCTGAGAGGGCGTCATCTTGTTTTACCTTTTCAACCTGTCATAATTCCATACAGAAACGTATCAGTTATCTATGCAAGCATTCGAACACACATATTCGGACATTGAAAAAATAAAATTATATGCTTCGAATGAGCTTGCACAAGGGATGTATTAACAAGTTAATCAAGTTACACATTTTAAACCACCGCTTAAGATTCAAAACACTGACAATCTGATTTCCCGCTAGATTAGGAGTCGTTCAATTTGCAACATTACCCAGAATAGGAAAGCCAGCCACCAAAACAGAATTCTACCTAGACTAGGATTAAGAATACTGATTTGCATTCTATTTGGTTGAAGAAAACAGCACTGAAAAAATTAAAAACGGTGGGCAGGTAGATCAAACAATACTCGTTTTGCAAAATTCCAGTCAGTTCTCAACACCTTCACCCCTGACCACCCCACTTCTCTGCCACTCCGTTCATAATAGAAGACAGAGAGCATAAGAAGAAATTCATCGACTGAGTTTTCTAAAGTCATTTTCAATCCATAAGAATTGAACATAGAACAATATGAAATTCTAAATCTATCTGAAGTGGAGGATGTAGAAGGATAAAATGTGAATGGAGATGGTGGATGAAGGAAATGTGGCAGGGAGATTGTAGGAAAGATTGACAGTGGCATTGGCATACATGTTTCGACTAGACAGGTCTGGACATGATGCCAGAGGTGGAATGGAAGAATTGTAAGCTGGAGATAAAGAGAAGATGGAGACGGTCGAAGTGAGCTGGCAGTGGTATTCTGGTGAGTAATAATAGTGTGGATCTAGTGACACTTGCTAACAAATTGAACTATTGAAGGATTCATGTCAGAGGATTTGACAAAGTTTACCCTAGCTACAACCTTGCTGCCAGAACCCTTTGCTCCGGCTTGGTACCTACTGGGGCTATGACAAAAGTTGACAACAAATTGATAAAACAAAATAAAATAAGATCTGTGAGTGACAGAAAGGCGAGTAGGAGGAAGACAGTGGTGAGGCTGAGGAGGATGAGATGGAGGAGGTGGGATTTACAGAGAGTTGCTGACTGTGGTCCATAGCTGTTGGCAGTAGTAACTAGTCAGGGTAGAGAGGATCAATTATTATAAGACAACCTAACTGATATCACTTTTAGACGAGGAATGATAATTCTGAAAACTGCCCTGACTGATCTTTACTTAGGAATGGTGCTCCCCATTAGCAGTTGGTACACCACGAACGATCAAGGAAAGAGAAGAACTGGCCTCTATGTGAACAATGGGGCCTAATATCACAAATTTTAAGATTAGCATAATACGTACAATAAGTTGACGAGCATGGGATAACTTCATTGTCGAGAAACAATAGAAGACTTGACAGCTCTTCATAGACAAACCTAGATTTTGCGATCCTAGGTAAGATTGGTTCAGGATGATGGGATCCATTTTTTATCAGAAAAGAAGGGCAACACCAGGATTTTTAGACCTCTATTCTGCCAGCTAAGCTATCTAGACCAAAAGAGGTCTTGTATTTGAATTGTGCCCATTATCCTTCGAAATGGTATGCTCCTCATGTCCCCTTGTATCATTTGTCTTGTATGGAGGACTAATCAGACAATTATTACACAAAAACTCCAACTAAGAGAATGCAAAAAGTTCCAACATTATTACACAAAAGAGAGACTCTTAAGAGATACTTGAAAATTACAAAACTTTTGGCATATCCTCCATCACAACATACCTCAAC